CCCCCCCCCCCCAATATTTCACAAAGTTTTTGCCACTGATCAGGAGGCATGATCCTGAAACTAAAAAAAGCAGCTGCTATAATATATTGTATCTTTATAAATTGTTTGTAATATAACAATATTTAATTTTATCACTGTTTCATATTGTACTAGAATTCACAATGGACATCGATTGCTTCTCAGTACAAGCTGTCTGTTGACAAACTCGAGAATTGTCGTTGGCGTTAGTGACGAAACCTTATTGGTTAATAAAACTTTGGGTGAACTCATCGAACCACTTGAAGTGCGGATGAAAAATGTTGCAGAATTTATTGAAGATATTAAACCTGGTAGGTGGGGGGGGGGGGGTTGTAGGAGAGTGCAGTATGGAGCGGGCCAATTCCTTATCAAATCCAATTTTTGGGTTTTTGACAGTAGCCTTACTGCCCATCTAGGCAATTTTCAAAATATTTGACAAGCTTAGAAGTTACTTTGAACTAGTGATTGATCGATAATCAGTACTGCATGCCCTATTGGTAGACAATTGAATCAGTAGAATTGTCTTTATTCTGTATTCCGATTGTATTAAACTGATTGAAGGAACTAGACTGAGTTCCAAAATATCACCCACTTGAACCGACTTGACATCGTAGCTCAGTTGGTAGAGCTTTGGTGGGTTCAATTCCCATGGTCAAGCAAACTTCTCAGCTTGCCTGCATGGTGTGGACACATTCAAAGACATTATCACAAGAATATGATTGTTCTAATGTTGAGAATATAATTATGCACTAGTCTTTTAAAAATTGACCTGAAGATTAAGAGTATTATGCCAAGTTCACCAACTGAAGACAATGTTTATACATGGAACAACATTTATGAACGGTTTTAAAGAATTTTGGTTGCAGTAGTACGTTGGAAATCATCATTAAATTAATAATCAAAATGAATGATGTCACATTTACTCAGGCCACTGACTTTAATTGCTTAAAGGTGATCTACAGTCCGATCTGCGCATGTGCACAAATGAGCCCACTTTTTATGATACAAACAGTTTAACTATGTTTTGAGTTCTTGAAAAGCCTGATTGTTGTTTCTCGATCATTTATTATACTCTAGAAGCTTGAAAATATAAAGAGTTGTCGAATAAAGCTCAATATTTTGGACACAAAAATGTAAACAAAGGCTTTGTTTACATACGGACTGTAGATCACCTTTAAGTAGACACATGGGCAGATCAACATATTGAGTGCCAGTTCTCTCCCTTGATGAGTAAAATTGCCTGGCATTAGACAGAGCAAAGTAATAAAGTATGCGGCATTGGGGTGCTATTCCACTTAATGGGTTAAAAACAATTTGAAAAATAATGTAGATGTTTTAATTAGCTGTCCAAAAGCCTTATTTTCCAAGTCCAAGATGACTGAATCACTGGCTGGTTAAAACCATCATTGCCAAGTGTTCAATGACCGACCAAATCTATGTACTTCTGTAGGTCTTATCAAAGAAATAGTTCCTCTGAGTGACCCAGCTGGTCCAACGAAGACCGACCCAAATATTGAATGCCTTGTGGTAAGCGCGGAAACTCTGAATGGTGGACATGCTGTGAACAAGATACGTAAAGAAGCTGGACTGCCTAAAATGGATCTATTTTCAATAGAACTTATCAGTGACATAGAGCCTGAGAGGTACAATATGAAAGATTACTGAGAAACATAAATCTTTTATTGTCGATTTCAGGTCATTTTTCAGCGCACATTCCAAGTTCGTTGGGAACATGCCAAATAAATTTCCAGGTTCGCAACGAAGTTTGCAAGTTCATTTTAATGTTAGAACTTCTATACGTAACAATTGTTCACAGTTCAAGTTGAAATTAACAATTCAATGAAAAAGTTCTTGGTCCTGTGGTCTACCAAGGTTTGTATTTCATTGAATTGGTTATTATTATTGAAATATGAACATTTGTTTACAAACGAAGTTCAAACATTGAAATCTACTAGCGAACTTCGTTGCGAGGTTCACGCCCAATTTTCGAACTTGGAAACGTAATTGGTACGTTCGCAACGAACGTGGGATCCGTGCGTTGAAAAGTGACCTGAAATCGACAATAAAATTCATACTTGTAGTTTGTTGGCTATGTAGTTTGTTGGCTATGAGAAAAGTACTTCCAAATTGACTCTACCAGACGCTGCAAGTATCAGGGGGAAGCTTTCCCCTCCCCCCAGATCTGAATGGGGTGGGACTTACCTCAGTTTTTACCTTGCAAATATGGTAACATTTTCAATGTGTTTTCAGCTCAACAGATGAATGCAAACTAAGCTCGACAGCTGGTAGGCACGAAGCCCTTGGAGTTTTACTAAGACCACCCAAATCCAATTCCAACCAATCAGGTGTGTATGTCATTGGACTCACAGGAGGTATTGCCAGCGGTAAGTCGAGTATTGCTAAACGTCTTGAAAAACTGGGGGCAGAAATCATTAATGCAGATATAGTAGGACATTCTGTGTATGAGCCGGGCACTGATGCTTATAATGAAATCATACAGAGTTTTGGTGATGGAATTTTGAACAGTAATGGGTCAGTAAATAGGAGAAGCCTTGGCAGTATTGTATTCAGTGATAGCAACAAGCTTCAATTACTGAACTCAATAGTTTGGCCAAAGATAATGGAAAGGATTAAGGAACTTATCTCAGAAGTAGCATCCAAAGGTGCTCAAGTTTGTATAGTCGAGGCAGCATTGCTTCTCGAGGCAGGCTGGGATGAAGTAGTGAATGAAATCTGGGTGTCTTTCATTCCGGAAGCAGAGGCAATCAAACGGTTGAAAGACCGGAACGGACTGTCGGAAGAAGAAGCAAAGAAGAGATTGGCAAGCCAGTTGAAAAATAAAGAGCGAGTCTCGCAGGCTAATGTTGTTTTGAGCACTTTATGGGAGCCGGAATATACACAGAAGCAAGTCGAGAAAGCGTGGAAAGGCTTGCAAGAGAGAATAACGAAGTAGGAAAACATGAACATTGATTCAAGAATAACATTTTTTTAAAGGATAATTTTTTTGAACTGATGAAGATGTGGACTTACAGACAGTCATAAGATGACAGCTAGAGGCACCCTTAGTAACCCTAATCAACTCGATCAGGTTGAGCTGCGTCCTTCTGCTGATCGAGGCTGTCAACTGCAAGGAAGGGATGACTAGCACAGTGCACAGCCCGTTTACCTACTTATAATTGTAAAAGAATTTAGACTTTTTGGCGCACCTCTATATAAATTCTCTTCCAAAAATCTCCTAAGCATATTTCAAGGAATACCTACCTAAAAAAGCGCAATTTGTTACAGATTTGTAAACAAGTTGCAACAAGGTTGTTGTCAAGCCGATAACATGCCTAGGATGTGTTTGCACTGCTTGTTTCCAGTTGTTGTGTCCTGTTGGTACTGCGGGTGACGGTGCTGTGCTTGTTTCTGGTGGTACTGCTGGTGTTGGTGATGGTGCTGTGCTTGTTCCTAGTGGTACTGCAGGTGATGGTGGTGTGCTTGTTCCCAGTTGTTGTGACAAGTCTGGAACAAGTTGTTATCACCTTGTTGCGAGGTTGATGACGGTAAATTTTTTTCCAACAAGACTAACACAGGCTGTTCGTAACACGTTGCTATACGAGCTTGTTGGTATCGACTTGTTACATGCAGACGATATCAGACTTATTGAAACAACTTGTTGCGAGTCTGCTGACCTCATCAACCTTGTTACAAGATGGTAGCAACTTGTTCCAGACTTGGCAACAGCTCGGAACAAGCAATGCGAACACATCTTGTTGACAAGCTGTGAGATATATATTGCATGCATCTATTAAATATTTAAATCAAATTCAATAAAACATGAAATTCTACAGCTATAGAATTCGTAAAAGATATTTCTGATCTAATTCATATTTTAAATCGAAACATAATCCTCAATAAATTGTTATATAACCTTTTACAATCGTGGCTTCAAATTCATTATATATATTCAATTTTATATTCATTGCATCAGTATCTTTAAAGTTATAAAATACTTTATATTTACACAAAATTGTCGGAACAATTAAAGTACACGCCCCACATACGTTTGGGAACTTAAGAACTATTTTGTTCTTTAAAAATCCCTTTAATCTTTGTCTGATATACTATACATACCCAAAATTTCGTCCAAGCAAGCAGCTGTTCTTAAAATTTCTCTTCCCAATATATATATATTCAAATATCAACATTTATTTTTTCAATTATATTCCCTAATGTCATCATTTTATTTTTCCATAATTTTTTTTCATTGTTGAACGAGCATGGATGAAATGGTTGGCAAAGCAAAGCTTGCAAATGATTTTGCAAACAACGACTGTTTCTTGGCATTAATACAAACTTCTCGTAATGATGGTAGTTTCAGTATTATCTGAGCGAATCTGTTTGTCTTCTCGGGATAAGAGCATTTGATGTAGTCCTTGAGGCAGCATATTGCTTGTTTTAAGTTCTCTTCAACCGCGTCGTAGTTTCGGAGTTTGGAACAAGGCTCTGGAAAAGAAATATAAGACGTTAGCGTGGCCTCACTCAACGTGAGCAAATATTGTACCGCACTCGTGTGAATGTATAGTTGGATCTCTCTGTGTTAAACATGGTTAGATTATGCGGGGGTATATATAGTACAGGTTGTTCGATGTGGTTGATTTAAAATGCTCTGATGTTGTACAGAATTAATGATAGTAACGTTACAGGGTGCGATAATTTAATATTTTTATCGCTTCCAGGCCCAATGATTATTGCCTCGTCCTTGAGTTGGTACAGACTCCTCGATGTCTACTTTAATAGTCTTTAAAATGAGGTTCATATAATACAGGTTTCTGAAACGTATGTTCAGACGACGAGGTAGAAGAAGCACAATTGCATATACAAACAATCAACTGCAACGTTTCTTAGTGCCATCAGTCCAATCATGTTTCATGACAATTAGACATCTCAGACACATGATATATACCAACTAAGTTACGGTATTGAATACCTTGGGCTAGGAAAGGTCATATGGTACCAGCAAAAAGTAAGTACGCATATAGTAATAGTTCTGACGTACCTACAATAACATGGTACGTGACTGAAAAGAAAGAAGTACCAGAGCGTAATATTGGCGTATCTCCGGTACGTAAGTACGCGAATTATCGCATCCTGAGTAATTCTGAGTTAAGCATGACTAGATAATGCAGAATTTGTACTAGTTCTTCATGTCGAATTTCTTAAGGAACTAACTTCGACTCGCAATAGTAGAGTAATTTGTAAGTGCCAAGGTAGTATGCAGATAGAATGATGCAGAAGTAGTACTAGTTTTCATACTGGGGTTACTTGGTATACAGAACTCGCTACTAAAAATTTAGTAGAATTAAATTAAGTTATACTTGGTCCTTGATTGTGGTCTTCCTTAGAGAGATCGATGTTGTGGATAATCTGTACATGTGAACAGAGTTATGTCTCTCTTTAGCATGTTTAAATCATGCAGAGATAGTACATGTTTCTGAATGTTCGCTGCTTTAAATTTATCTGGTGTTGTACAGAACTCACTGAGCTCTGTTCCACATATCAGGCAATGATAGGATATGTAATTCTTAATGTGGGCAGTCGTAAAATGATCAAATGTTATACAAAACTCGTTTTGGTAGAGTTTTAATTCTCTGTCGCGGTCTTTATCCCATCCACCTCAGAATGAGATGCAAATGACATTCCAATAATCTTAACTCTGTAAACTGGCATAAACCTATGTCCTCTTACCTTGAGTAAAAAGCAGTATAGTACTAAGACATGCGAACTCAGCCATGTCCAACTGTAACGTCTGCAGCTTGCGAGCATACATCAATAACAAACTGACCCATTGACCAATCACCACATGAGATTGATAATCTACATGCCAGACCACTTCTTTGGCGAACACAACAAAACCTTGATGTGGGCTTGATCGTTGGCAAATTCTGAACACCCAGAGCTCTAAGGCAGCTGCAAAGAAGATGTATAGTATATCCATAAGAAATGCGGAATGAGATGAATACAAGCATTTGGCATCATTTACTCGCTCCCACAAGTGTGCATGAGTGCATTCGAAGTTGAAGACCGCCATCTGACCTGTTGGATGAACTTCTTCCTCTTTTTTAGCATAACAAGCAGCAGTTGACAAATCGGCACAATGCAAGTCACTGTTGTTAATAGTTACGAAGCCGCCGGGGGAGGCATTGACATAGACAGTGTCCTACCTTCACTTAGAAGATTGATCTGATCATCCGCATCTAAAGCGTTAAAACATGAAAGTTGTTTCGCCCATTTTATGATCATCTGTAGCTCTTGAACAGCGACCTCCATCAAGATTTCAACTGTATGGAAGTGATAGAGGTCACGAATTGTCATTGCATGATTGTCGAGTCTAGAAAAAATGAAATGAAGAATTTGAAAGCTGGACATGCATATATACCACAGGCCCTTTGCTGGATGACTAGAGAACAGCGAGATTTTCAAACAATGAAAAGACAATCATGGAATATTTCGATCACTAGATCGTGACTGGTGACATTGAACAATTGTTTTGCTATAAGAGTACTGTGAAGGACCTATTCTTGAAAATGAAACGGTCTTTGTTCCACCTTATGTGTGTTGTCCCTGCCTGTGAGTAATTGCTGTATGCTTTCAAGGCATTGCCTTCCTATGGACTTTTCTTTTGTTTTCTAGTCTTTCTGAAATGTTCTTCTAAAGTGCGTTAGAATAATTGAAAAATTGACCTCCATTGCGCCATTTTGACAGTAATTGTGTGATGTATAACATATTTATTCTACTGAAAACACGTCATGTTTTGACATGAGCTGTCACTGACTGCAGCTATTTCCCATAAAGTATACTATGTGTGAAAAAATGGAAACTATTTCTGTGGTTGCCAAAGTAAATGCTCCTGACGATTTGCCAAGCGAAAGTCGAGGTTAAAGCCACGTATAAACTTACTTGATGGATGGAACGCAATCAGGTCTGGCTTGAATAAATTCCAGAATCATCTGAGATGAACCGTACGTTTCTTGGTGTTCTTTCAAAGTCAGTAATGACTTAATCCTTGGTCGTCCTCCTGGTGCTCTGTCTTCCCGTACGGCTGAAGTTAAGAATTAACAAAGGACATTATGTTCAGAAGCTTTTTCATGGCACCGGCTGAATTTGAAAATTATTGAATTGAAGTTGTAAAGAATCTTAAAGTGGTGGTGATTGTGTTTGGTGATGATGGTGGTGATAACGGTGGTGATGGTGGTAGTGATGATGATTGTGGTGGTATATGATGGTGATAATGGTGGTGGTATGGTGATCGATAATAATAATGGTTGTCATGATATTGACGAAAATGATTGATCAGATCTTAAGATATCGGTGAGAGAACCATCTGACAAAAAGTTCGATGACTTTGAGTTTGGGTCGGACATGTGTATTATGATGTCCGACTCATTTCCGATGACTTTGAGTTCAGTTTGGCTTGGAAATAAGTATATATGAATGCAAACACAAACTAATATCAGCACAATTTGGAAAAGCCATTTGAGTCTTGGCGGTAACTTTGCGAACCGCACGGTGAAAACCCCGTATGCACTTGATTACCCATCTCCAGTTCACTTTCTATACATTGCTCTGATTCTCCGTTTAACATATGAGCTTCTAGTCCTGGACTAAGGTACATTTTGATTTACGTTGGACAAAGTTACAGTTAGGTCGGACACAAATACACTCGGGTTGGACAAACAATAAACCTCAGTTTCACTTAAGTCGGACAGAATGTCCAGTGGTTTCCTCTCTACATCGGACAATTTTAAGGCCTGAATTGATGATGATGCTGGTTGGGATTATCATTATGGAGTTAACAAATGATTTAGCAAGTGGAGCTTACGACCAGACAGAGGAATTGCAATTTGCACTAACCAGATGATCTTACATGTACGCCACAGTCGTGAAACCAGTGGTAATGTATTGCTCAGAGACATGGGCTTTATGGAAGAGAGAGGAACAACAGCTGGATAGAACAGAACTGTGAACGTTGAAGTGGATATTTTGAATATCCTTAAGAGACAGACGAAGAAATAATGACCCAGTCAAGGTAGCATATAGGCGCCCACAGAATATTTGAGACACAAAGGATGAGATGAAAGGATTCAAGGATACCGTGGAAAAAGACATGTGGGTACTAAGCCTAAGGCTAAGAGAAGAGGATGGTCAGGACAGAGTGTAGAGGAAGATTACTAATGAGAAGGTTACTAATCAAGTTAGTAACGGAAGCGTCGGTAGAAAGACGATGAATAGTTGGGGGACAAAGATGAGATGGAGAGATATTGTGGAAAGAGACCCGAGTGTACTGTACTTAACAGAAGAGGATGCCTAGGATAGTGTGGAGGAAAGTATAATCAAGTTAATATGGAGACAACTGTAAAGGCAACGAACAGTTGGAAGACAAAGGATGAGGCGGAAGAATAATGTGGAAAGAGGTATGCGAGGGTACACACCTCGGAAAGAATATTTGGGATAGAATCGACGTATACCAGAGCGGTCAACCCTATCAGGGAATTAAGCGACGGAAGAAGGACAACGATACAGACCTAAGATCTCAAGTACAGTATACTGTTCTTAAATGTGCTTCAACGATTTAAAAATAGTATTATGTTCATGGTCCCTCAACAAAAATCATTATCTATGTGAAGGAACATCCCGAACGACATTACTTCTTCCAAACTAATGGTTATACTTAACCAAGAGACAAGCAGACATAAGATTTCAATTATACTGTTCCCAAATCTGCCTCAGTGGTCTCAGCTCGTATTCCTATAACAAAAACCGTTATACAAAGCATTTCTCTGTACACGTTATCTTTCCTTACCTTCTTTGAGCATACCAAGCTTAATGCATTTCTGAAAACGACAATATTGACATCTTATTCTGTTGCTCTTATCAATAGTGCAGTCTTTCTCTTCAACACAAATGTACTGGAGTTGTTTTTGAATCGTTCTTTTGAAGAAACTTTTACAACCCTCGCAACTCTGTACGCCATAATGAAAACCCGATGCCTTGTCACCGCAGACCGCACAAATACGTGTTTTGAGCGAGTCCATTGGCTTCTTGGCAGGGTAATCGCTGCAGACTAGTGGAAGAAAAGAGGATAATTTAAAGGAAATCATAGACGGATTTTATTAAATGTTTATTGGGATCAATGACAGTAGTGTGATTGAAATAAAGATTTTGAACTAATTAAGACCAAAAATCACAAAGTAAGACAAGGGTTTTGAACTAAATAAGACCAAAAATCTGAAAATTTTCTGGGGGTTTCGCCCCCTTACCCCATCCTATTGACAACTGTGCCCCCACACACCAACTGCAGCTTGCTCGACGGCGCTACGCACCCTGTCGCTCACCTCCCCCCCTCAGAGCAAAATCTGAAAATCCGTCTATGAAGAAAATTGGCAACAACAATTATGTTAATGTAATTGCTTTTGAGTTAATCCAGATTGTTTTACATTTATTGAACAGTTTTATTTTGTCTGACGTTTTGCTTCCCTATACGGAAACCATTTTCATTTTCAAAGACTGTCAGTATTTGAACGTCGAGTCTTCTTTCATCAAGGCGATCACATTTGGCGACAGTCAGTACATCATTGTAATGAAGGCCTTGAAAAACAATAGTTGAAGGGTCTTGTCATTTATCAGACCTAGCCAGGAACTGCTGGGAAAAATGCAACTACAGGTTCCTGGCAGGAATCGAGCCTGTGGCCCTGCGATTCCGGTGCAGCGGTCTAACCATGTGAGCTACAGAAGACAGTTGTGGAGCTCTAACCACAAATTCATACTAGGGTACTGCCATCCAATGTATAAAGGTTATGGGTAAATATCAAAATTTTGTTGCAATCTTACTCGATTGAATAATAGTTGAAGGATATTGTAGATGGAAATTATCGATGCGCAAAACTTGAAAAACAATGCGCATTACTCTTATTTGGACCATTAACTTTTTATTTCATTAACTACTATACCTATAGTCCTATACCTATAGCCCTATACCTATAGTCCTATACCTATACTATTATACCTATAATCCTATACTACAATATACCTATAGTCCTATACTATTATATACCTATAGTCCTATACTATTATATACCTATAGTCCTATACTATTATATACCTATAGTCCTATACTATTATATACCTATAGTCCTATACTATTATATACCTATAGTCCTATACTATTATATACCTATATAGTCCTATACTATTATATACCTATAGTCCTATACTATTATATACCTATAGTCCTATACTATTATATACCTATAGTCCTATACTATTATATACCTATAGTCCTATACTATTATATACCTATAGTCCTATACTATTATATACCTATAGTCCTATACTATTATATACCTATAGTCCTATACTATTATATACCTATAGTCCTATACTATTATATACCTATAATCCTATACTATTATATACCTATAATCCTATACTATTATATACCTATAGTCCTATACTATTATATACCTATAGTCCTATACTATTATATACCTATAGTCCTATACTATTATATACCTATAGTCCTATACTATTATATACCTATAATCCTATACTATTATATACCTATAGTCCTATACTACTATATACCTATAGTCCTATACTACTATATACCTATAGTCCTATACTATTATATACCTATAGTCCTATACTATTATATACCTATAATCCTATACTATTATATACCTATAATCCTATACTATTATATACCTATAGTCCTATACTATTATATACCTATAGTCCTATACTATTATATACCTATAGTCCTATACTATTATATACCTATAGTCCTATACTATTATATACCTATAGTCCTATACTATTATATACCTATAGTCCTATACTATTATATACCTATAATCCTATACTATTATATACCTATAGTCCTATACTACTATATACCTATAGTCCTATACTACTATATACCTATGCTACTATATACCTATGCTACTAAACCCCACATTTTAAATATACTAAAAGATATACTATACTATACTAAGGTTATGTTTAAATAAAAACGGAAATTAAAAACACTTAAGTGAGCGCCAAGACGGGAGGTCGGTGATATATAATATGAACATCTAATGTGATCTGAAATTTATCAAACGACAGTGTTACGCTTTGATCAGCTGCCCTTTTGACGTCAGCCCGACTCCAGAATAATTAATGAGATAGAAAAGATTTTTTAAAGTGAAATACAAATATTGCGTACTATTAAATTGTTTTGGACAACGAAACAAAGACCCTGTTATTTAATGATGCGAATAACACGAGACGGCCGCTATTGAATTATGTATAAAATATAGAATTTATCTCAATACAAAAGCGTTTAGAAATTTGATGTGAATTTTCGCACGCATTTCACGCGCGTGAAATAAAAGGCAAATAAATTTTATACTTTTTCGTTATTCCGCGACTTTAAGTGACTATAACTTTTTGACGAAGGGCCTCGCTCGAAACGTCGATCGAAGTTCTCCTTGCAAGTTCTCTGCTTTATATAATAGGCACCACCTATACACTGGTTCAGGTCATTAAAGATTGTATGAATTTATGTGTATATTGAATTTATAGGCTGCAGCTTTTATGCCATACTTTTGCATATTTTCATAAGTGAATCTGTTTACCGGCACTGATAAATAAAATTGTCTGGCGTTACATGGTATAGAATACTAATAATCAGTCAGGATAGTTCCACATATAAAAGCGAAACGGTTGGGGAAAAAAATTGAAGCAAAATTTCGAGAAATGATCATATATGTTAATATTTTTTGTATATTTGGTCGTATATATTTGATGTGCACTTTCTAAAACCATCGAGAAAGTTCATGTCAGCTATAGCCCATTCCGAGTGAAGAACCCTTCTTCATTTCATGACGTATTCTATAGCTATAATTTTTTTCGTGTTTCGAATGTATATAGCCTAACACGCATGCAATATAATGAAGCTATTTCATTTAAATATTATATTGTCCTAAGGAGTTAATGTGTGTTAAAAGCAAATTAGTTTCAATGCTTTTTGTTTAATGAAGCGGGCCTTGAGTTCTATTAAATCCGCCTAAATAGTTCTGCTTAATTGTTTGCAAGAGCGGTTTGGCTCACGCAACGCAACAGGACATCAAATAACTAATAAAAAGATCGCGCGGTTTATGTCTAACACTGCAGGAAAGTCATGTAAACCTCTGATGACCCTGCACAGTCTGTTAGGAAAGCTGCCGCGCGCCGTGGAAATTGAAAGGTTGAGTTTCAAAAGCTGTAGATTTCCCTTGGCTTGATAGAATTTTTAGCGCTGAGCCGAAATTTCTGTTTTGCCCTATAGTTTCCCCCCGCTCTCCCTGTAACCTAAAATCACTAATTTTGTTATAAAGTCTGGCTGTAAAACGTCCGCAGTCATTTGCAACCATATATTTACTGCTTATATAGATAAAAATACTATAATGTATAAAATTGTAAACTTTGTTTTGAAATGTGTTGATTTGAAAAATGAAAATGGGCCGAGATTTGTAGCAAATGCATTAGTTTCCGTTTTTCGAACCATTTTCACACTTTTCATTTGCAATTGCGAAGATTCTTATCGCAATTCCACGCATTTCAACAGAAACAAAACGTATATCCTTACAATAGATATCATTATATAAGAATTGTAATACATATATACTATGCTATACGGTGTGCTTGTCAATTTTAGCGATGCTTGTTCGTTATTCTTTTAATTTAAGAAGTAAATTAAAAGCGGTTTTGTAAAATACCGAGTTTATATTCTTCAATTAAAAGTGGCAAAAGATGTCCAACTTTAAACATTGTTTCCAAACGCGGTTCCATTTCTTGAACTTCATATTTTCATGCATAACTCTAGCTGTATCAGGAAAGTAGTATGGGAAGTTGTGTATTTTTTACTTAAAAGTTTAACAACGTTTCAACATCATCGTTAATATCATTGAGTCATTGAAAACGTTTTGACGAAGCCGAAGGGCATGTGTTTAGTCGAAACGGAGGATCGCAACCTTTAACTTTGTACATTCTATATATGCTAACCAGTGTCTACCACAAAGTCAAAGGAGTCGTAGCTATATTTAAATACCGTTATTATATATATACTTGTACTTTAATTCTCTTGTTTGTATAATAAAATAACATGCAAGCTTATTCATGATTATATATATTTCAATTTTTACTAATTTATAACAGCAAACACCGATTCAACTCTTTAATTAATAAGCTATAAACTCGAAGACTTTGAAAGCAATGCCGTGGATAGCGATAGAATATTAAAAACACGAACATATTGGGAAGAATTTTAGCCGAAGTATAGGTTCTTTAAAAAAACTTTGCTTTTAAGCTTTTTGGGATTAAAAAGCAATCCTTAGAATTGGCCATGCTTTAGATCAGATAGCCAAATGCTCAAGCGACTTGCGTGAAAATTATAAATAATTTAAATTAGAAAAACTAACCTTTTAATCTAAGCGGCGAACAAGAAGAATAGAAGGCTCCTTACCTTTATTTGATGCTTCGAGTGTTGCCATTTTTCCAAACGTCTTAGTTTTTTTTCCGGACAATTTCAGTTGAGGTTTGATTCCTTGCAACCGTGGTTCGCGCTATCTTGTTGTTTATGCACTTTGTGTTATTGTCATTCGCCACCTTTTTGTCCTCAGCGTTGTGCACTTGAGATCGTCACTGCCTTATCAACGAACTTATCTCCTATTCTGCATTCTCAATGGCTTTTTGACTCGATGATTATTAATGCTGATCAAACCGAACAGCTGCGGAGCCGTGTTCCGACCGACAAAGTTAAAAGCCTCGCGACGTTTTAATTAGAAGCGATATGTTCGTATAAAGTGCGTTTTGTTGTGTCGTTTGGCTCAGGCACCCACGCTACACGCGCGCCATAGGATTTACAACTCATTGAGATTATAATATATTTGTTACGCATTTCCATCACCACATGTTGAATATATAGCATCTACTGCATGATTATATAATTGTACTAATCTGGTTGCACAAAACTATTTTATTTCACTGAGGGGCTGTTCAGTTACACGATCTCGATTATAGGTCTGGATGCATGGAAGCGGGATATGATTTTGATGTATTGAAATAAGTCCTTGTCGAGAAGATCTCGTTGTTCAAGTAACTCAAATGTTATCGAGAAGATCCCGTAGTTCAAGAAGATTATTATTGCTGTTTGAACAACCTTTCGGTCATAATTATACCATAATCTATCGTGTGCCGTGACTTATTTCAGTACATCAAAATTATCCCGCCTTACATCTCGTCCCGGTAAAGCGGGATCATGGGGTAATTATGACAACCAAACCGTGGAACCATTATGCGATAATTTTACTATTTTTATGTGACGTGGGTCATGCGTGCAACTCGCTGTGATTCTCTCGTTTAAGATTCTCTCGTTTGTGGAAAATCGTGAAAATGTTTCTCAACTTTGTTTTGTCATATGTGTTGAAAATTACCACAAACTGATACAAGGTGAAGCACAGTTTTTAATCAGGCCTCCCTCAGCAATCTGACATCCGTGTCACAGAGTAAGTACATACAGAGGTATTACTTCTTCGGGAAAACCGTAAGGCAGTTTTTACTGGTGGCCAAGGCTTTGCAAATGCCCTAAAGAAGGGCATTCGCCCCCCTGAAACATTGAATTTCAATATCTTTTCAGGGGAGTGACGGCCTCGGTTTAGAGCACTTGCTATAAAAACATGGCGGACTGAAAGATTTCACTAGAACAAATTTTAAGCGGTTAATCCTCAGAGAAGCTAGTATTCTGGGAGTACAAATCCGATTGATTCTTGTTAGCCCGGACTACAAACGGTTGTTTCTGTTTTCACAATAAATTTCTGGCCATGTAACACGAGACAATTTTTGCTGCAACTTTCAACCGCAATTTCGGATACAGAGCCACGATTTTTAAGATAACAGGTCTTTACGTCAGAAACAGCGTTGCAAGTTGCAGCAAATATTGCCTCGTTCTGGCTTTTTCTGCCGATGTACCACAATTCATTATGATTCAAAATGGCGTTGACTTTGGTGAAAAGAGCCATTTATTCAAAATTTGAGAAAAGCTGTGGTACTGATGGATAGAATTAGGATAGAATGGGGTCTTACGAGATTTCGTCCCCAGGACATCGTCTTTCCCGCATCGTTGCTATGGCGGGAGAAAACAAATGCACAATATTTAAATGGCGGTGATTTTTTACCAAAAATTTTACCAAATAAGCAATGGAGAACAACGAGCTTGTTGCCCCAGCTAACTCCCGTATCGGCGACAGGTCTGCAAGTGAAATTTCGGGGCTTAGAACGTCACCTCCGCCACCGAAATCTTCTCCTGTTTCGAGTGTCAGTCGCCTGAGTTTGACATCAAAGGTCAAGCAAGATGTCGAAGACGACTGCAAGACTGTTCAGTTTGAGGAGATACGACGCGAGAAAAACCTTTGCAGTTCTATCGGAGAAGAGAAGGAAGTAGCAGACGTTTTGAAAAGTCGTTTGTATGACAGCGCTGGGACGTCGGATGTTTATCGCAGTCTTCGGACTCAGGTGAAATAAAGAGTGTTTTATTAATTATTATAAATGTTTTGGAAATTTGAACGTTTTTATAATAAAGTTAATTATTAATAATAATAAATTAGTAATAATGTTAATAACACTACTAGTAATAATAATGACAACATTGATAAAAGGAGTGTTCAAATTCAATAATTTGTTGAGAGATTAAAATATCAGAATATCCCAAATGAGAATCAAGCCAACAGAAGCCTGAGCAGGTTTTTAGCCAGAAGGGCGTCCTGGGACGCCCCTAGAACGAAAAATGGATGCCTTTGGATGCCCAAATTCCAGGGGAAAAGCAATCTCGTACCCAGAGCCATCGTTGATGGCTCTGGGTACAAGATTGGGGGAAAAGGGAAATTATTTTCAATGACTGACCGTCGTATTAACACTGCAGAAGATTATGTTATCATGTACCCACTTTTTTTCAGGCAACCGGGTTTTACTACATCCTGGACGTCCTTTGTCAATGCCTATAGTTAAAGTTTTGTATAATAAACTGATCCCAAACCCTTCCCTAACCCTAACTAGTAAATGTCTAATAAACAATTCGAGAATTAAAAAAAATCGGAAAAAAGTTTTTAAAAAATTTAAGAAAAATTACTAAGTCAGACAAAAACAATAGGCTAAACCAGACCTTCTTTCAAAACTAAACCAACCTGGACCTTGTTTCACTTTGCACACACACGAACGCACGCACGTAGTGCCTTTACAAATGCAGGGACGTCGCGAAGTCATCAACATTGGGGGGGTGTCGTCATGTTTTGACCATCATTTCCTAGGATTTTGACCAAGTCGTACAAATTTTCCCCAAAAATGTTGTCGATTGGGGAAGGAGCTAGAGGTCAAAGAAAATTTCCGGACTGAAATTAGTCTCCCTCGCAGACAGACTGAAATAGGCATGGTCGAAAAAAATTTTCCGGACTAACATAAGCATATTCAAAATTTTTCAACCAAGATAAAAAAGGTTCAATTTTTTGAGAACCATTTCATAACTTTGAGCAACTTTGACCATCTTTTATCCCAAACTTTGACCAAATTTTTCTGAGTTTTACCTTCAATTTTAAGCAAATATCAGTTCCATTTTGACCAACTTTGGGCAAATATCAGTTCCATTTTGACCAATGTTTGAATTATTGGGGGTGTGTTACACCCCCCGCCACACCCCCCCTATAGCGACGTCCCTGTACGAATGTGCTACCGCCAGGCTCACTGAAAGTAGTAAAATCTGGATGTAGTAAAATATCTAGAATTAATGGCCAACAAATGACAAATCATACAAAAAAGCAGTTCTGTAGGCCAAAAAATTAGTGCCGACAATTTCATCAAAGAATAATTGGTATTGCCACATTTTCAGTCATGAATTTTAAACAGTCTGAATGTCTTGCCAGATAAATTTCTTGGCAGCAAACAAAAACTAAACCGGCCAAAATAAATTTCATTGCAAAACAAAACTAAAATTGAATAAATTAGAAGAAAAAATTTGTGTTTTGGCTATCAAAATTGAAATTTGTAGGTCAAAACTTTTTTAAAACTGAATTTTGTTGGCCAGATAAAATTCTTAATTTGCACCTGGATTTGAATCCCAGGGCACACAAGGAAGATTTGTTGTGGAAACAAAGCTAATGTTTCTTCATTTGCTCCGGCTATATTAGGTTAACTGAGCACACCAGTTGTTATTCCTATGCACTGCTGACAATATTGAGCAAGAAAAATAAAGAAATGATCTCAGTAATCATATTTATTTCCATGTAGCCAAGAATAAAGCCTCATCCACCCACAAGCTCGTCGCCCAAACAGCAGTCAGCATTGTATCGAGCAACATTGTTGAGGAAGGAAAAACAGAAGAATAAGAAGCTTGTGGCACAAGATGCAAGCACTTATTTAAAAAACAACGATGCACAGGTGTGTATGAAACACAATTCTTGCAAAATGACAAGGATTATTGAAATTTTAAGGCTTCAAATAACAGGCGCACCATGACTGCCGATTAATACCATGACTGCCGATTTATACCATGACTGAGAACTTTGGGAACTTCATTTCAAGCCATGAAATTACTATAATGTCTGTAACTATACGATTCAACTTGTCAAGGGAAGCGTGCTGCATATGTGTCTTGTCTGCCCTTTAAAAGCCATTTTCCTTTAGGCAGAATTTTCCGTGTGGAGCGGAATTTCTTTTTGTCTTTTCTAATTACCACCTCAAAATCAGTAAGTAACTAAGTAAACAAAGTTTGAAGACGTTTACATGAATATACCCTTCGAATAATAAGCTTTCGAAGGGTATTCATGTAAACGTCTTCAAACTTTGTATACTTTGTATACTAATTTTGAGGTTGTGGTCTTTTTAGTGATTTGGTTCATTTGATCATTTCTTAATTTGGGCACGTTTTAACACTTGTCCCCAGTCCACTCATCAACTTCGGAATGGCTAATTTGTTCATCAAGCATCACTTTGCATCACTTAATCTATTGATTTATAATAAACAGAACTTTTGGAATTATCCTTTTATTTTGTGGAAAGCACTATGTATATTTACAATCCTACATCAGTTGTTACAGTGCGTCTACAGTAAGTGGGGCCACTTACAGAACACTAACCAATCACATTGAAGAACAGAAATTGAAAAAATCAACAAACGGCGCATTAGCCAATCAGCATTAGGCCAAAAACAATTTGAACAAATAAACGAATGTCAAACGGTAAAAATAGACTTGTAAAAGTAAACACTGCAGTTAATGGCTTCCTGAATCTTTCTTTTGATTGGACGAGCTTTAGTTTGATTAGATTTTTCTTTCTGTTCTGCAATGCGATTGGTTAGTGTTCTCTAAGTGGCCCCACTTACAGTATATAGATGCACTGTAACACTGATATGGATATGTAACACTGATGGGCTTATGGATTGAAAGCCTTGGCCTTGCAATAATAACTATATGTATACTGTTTTACTGTTGCAGTATTGTTTTTCCCCATGTGCAAACATTCAATAAATGTAGTTTTAGAATTGCCAGATGTATGTTGTGAAGGGGGTTGACAAAATGTGGACCCCCCCTTCTGGATCCCTTTCTGGACCCTTTTCTGGACCTTTTAAAAACCAAAAGAAAACATGTAAGTTAAGAAAACATTACATAGGCAGCTGTAAGCAGTCCGTCCCCAACCCGCATTTGTTGAGATGGCTTCAGCAGTGACCCATAATTCGGCCACAAGCCAATATTTGTTGACATTTTTGCTGTAAATGCAGCGGGGTAAATTTGCCGATTTATAGCAACCCGACACTACATTGACAATGTCATTACACAGTATTTTGCAAGGTCACAAAAACAACATGCAGTTTACTGAAAGTACTAAAGAACATGAAACAAGAAAACTATTGCAGTAAGAAATTTCTAATTGGAATAACTATGTTGCCCAGCAATGCCCTAATGTACACGATTATGATTGAAATGATCAGGATTGAGGATTGAGAAAGTCGAAAAAAGCTAAATGAATTTAATCGATCATCGTTATATTGAAATCCAAATAGTTGTGTCCTACAATCTGGTCTGTAGGTTTTTAAAAGGTCAAGAATAGGGTCCAGATTTGGGTCCAGATTGGGGTCCAGATTAGGGGTCCAGAAAAGGGGGGGGGGGGTCCACGTTTTGTCAACCCCCTGTTGTGACTTAGGAATTATTGTAATACTGATAAACAATTTTTAGGCAACATCCCCTTGTGAAACCGAGTCCAGAGACCAGCAACGTACTACTCATGAAGTAGTTGTACCAACACCCATACAACATATTCCAAGCAGCATACCAGGTTTTGGACCAGATCGCTATGAAGGACTAGACCTCGTTAAAGTCGTCCAGTTACTGCGAAAACGTTTGAACTGGGAGACTGACATTCAACAAATCATTGATGAACGGGAAGGCAAACCATCAAAAGGTTTTACCCAAGCTGAGAAAACTATCCGTATGGCACCACACTCCTTGCAAGATGATGGTGTTTTTGCTTATGCTATACTAAAAGATCTTAGCAATCCCATAGCACGGTATAATCCATACAACTTGGTTTGTGTTGGTGCTACACAGGCATTTGATTCAAAGCAAATGTTTACTGTCACTGCTTCAGCTGTTACACAGGTTGGCTGCTTATTTTTTTGTTTTAACTAATCATTCAGGCACGTAGTGCCCTTCTTATAGTTTATAATGTTTCAATTTTACTCCAAGGGGCCATACACAAAATATGTAATGTTTAGGGGGTCGGGGGTGGGTTGTGCTTGAACAATAGTCACATAATGTCGCAAGGTGGGAAGGGTGTCACAAAGCACTGTCACGTGATGGAGAGATGAGCCACGAAAAACGATATATATTGAAACTGGTATGAAGTATTTTCATATACCCCTGTCGTTAGATCACATAAGGCTCAATCCAAAAAAGCATGAATTCTAGTCTGCCACGAATTATTAATAATGGAAGGAACCACTTAAATAAACCATGTAAATCGTTCTGCTTATGAGAAAAATAAAGGTTGATCCTGAACACTCAACATGCCATTTTGTGTATTGAGGTGGGGGGGGGGGGGGGTTC